CTTCCTGCCCTTCTTGGAGACCTTTGGTGAGCAGCCGGGGCTGGTGTGTCCTGTGGGCTCCTCTCTGTACCTGCACATGCTCTGCCACACTCTCCAGCGGTGGGGACCTTCCCCCAGCCAGGGCAGAGCTGAGGGAGGTGCAGGGGCCAGGCTGGGGTTAATCAATGCTTTCCGTGAAGGCTGTGGGGCCAAGGGCAGTGGGGGGATGCTCAGAGCTCTGCTGAGCCCTGGGACCATGTGGGACATGGGGTGTGCAGCAAGCCTGGCTGCACACCAGCATGACCACGCTGTCCATCTGTCTGTCCCTGGCAGTGGTTGTCCCCGAAATCTCTCCTGTGGACCTGCAAGTGGCTACTGTGAAGGTGAGGAGCTGGGGTGAAGAGCTCCCAGTCTGTGAAGCTGGGTTTGCCTGTCCCCATCATGGGCAGGCAGTGGCCATTCCTGTCCAACCTCCTGTCACGCTTTGTCCCTTCAGGCCACAGATGTTGACTCGGAGCTGAGGGGAACCATCACCTTCTCCATTGTCAGCGTGGTGCTCGTAGAGGACAATGGGGTCAGCCGGCCCTTCGAGAACCTCTTCAAGGTGGTGACAACACCCGAGCAGGACAGCTACGTCGGGAGCATCCAGTGAGGCCATGAAGCTGGGCTGGGGTGGGGGGAACATGGCTCGGCTCCTGCTTGCCACAAGGCAGAGGTGCAGGCAGGGCTGGCACAGGCTGGCAAAGGGACAGAGCTGTCCTGGGGTCCTGCCCTGGGCATGGTGGCAGGGTGGAGCTTGGGGGATGGCAATGCCCTCCTGGGGATGTCTCATGGGATCGCTGATGTCCCTGTCCTTGCAGGGTGGCCAGCAACCTCGATGGCTCGCTGAAGGGGCAGTACCAGGTGACGGTGGAGGCTCGGGATGGCGAGGCACCAGTGCATGCAGCACAGACTGTGTTGAACGTGAGTGTCACCCATGTCCCCCCTTCTGAGGACACCCCATGCTCTGCCCAGGCCTGCTGACTCCTGCTCTCCCCACACAGATCTTCACAGTGGATCAGAGCTACCGTGTTCGCCTCCAGTTCATGAAAACAGTGGATGAAGTCCAGAGTAACTCCAAAAATATCAAAGCGTAAGGGGTGCCAGGCTGCAGGGGTGGGGAGGTGCGTGGCTGTGCAGCAGGGGACACAAGCACGCAGGCCAGGACACACCGACTGTGTCTCTCAGCTTCACAGACCTTGAAGGGGACTGGGGCAGGCAGGTTCCCACCAGAACGGGGGGCTGCAGGGGATCCAGCCGCTTCCCATGCCCACAAGTGGAGCAACAGGACACCCAGCCCAGCCTCCCTCTATCCCTCTTGTTCCTAGGGCCCTGACCACCGCGACCAAGGCAGGGGTCTACATAGTGGCCATCCGGAGCATGGAGGACACCCGTGCCTCCCGGTGAGTGGGGTCATGCAAGTGGTGGGAAGCGGATGTGGTGGTGGCATCAGAGGGGGTAACCCTGGGCCAGGGCACCGTGCCCTGCACCCTGCTCACGCCATCTCTTTGATCCTGTAGGGTGGAAGCCAAGTCAGTCATGGAGGCGTACTTTGTCTACAGCAATGGCACTGCCCTGGATGTCAACCAGCTGAGTGTGTGCGTGCTGAGGGCCACAAATGGGCACCACCGTGCACCCGGACCAGCCCAGCCGCTCACGCCTCTGCTTTCCTTGACAGGCTCATACAGTCCAACCCCCTGGTGCTGGCTGAGCTGGTGAACCTGGGCCTGGCTGTCATTGTGAGTGGGGCCAGGCAAGGAGCACAGGGAGAGGGCATCAGCCCCATGTGGGGCTGGGGTGGGGGTCCGCTGGCTGGGACTGTACCCTCACCCCTGCTCTGTGCCAGGGCCCTGGGGAGGTGCACTACCCCCATCCTCACCGCCCCCCCAGACCCATCCCTACCCTCCATCCCACTCCTGTCCACCCCATCCCACGGACCAGCTGCCCCCTGCCTTTCTCACCCACCCTGTCCCTGGGCTTTGCAGCTACAAGAGGAAGCTGAGTGCAATGAAGGCTCTGAAGGCAGCCACAACATTCAGCCCTGCCACAGTGCAGCAGGGAGCTGGCATCCCTGGGACCAACCAGTACAATGCAGAGGGGTGAGTGGGGGGCTCCCTGTGGCAGGCAAGGAGAGCCCAGGCATGTCCCCACACCCAGGGGCTGCAGGGCTCGCTGTCACACCTCTCCTGCCTGGGGGACATGGCTGTCCCGGGCTGACCCCACAGCCCCATGGGACAGTCACTCACCTACCAACCATCCCTGGCCAGAGCCAACCCCATGCTGAACCTCTCATTCGATCCCTCCCACGACCTGGGCTTCCACGAGGACTCCAGCTCTGTGGCCAGGTGAGCTCCACGGGCAGATCCTGAAGGCCATGGGGCCATCACACCCTGTCCCCACTTCTACCCCCTACCCTCCACTCTCCACAGCATGAATTCCCTGGATGAAAACATAGTAAATGCACCGGGGGATGACAACCTCAAGGCCAAGGTGAGTGTGCAAAGAGCTGCTGGTACCCAACAGGGAGTCCTGCCACTGCACCCATGTCCCCTCCTCTCTGCTGTGGTCCCTGGGCTCCCAGACCCTCATGTCCCTTCCTCTTCACCCCCGTGACAGCCCCCAACTCCTGGGAAGGACAGGAGTGTCCCTGTCCCCATCCCCTCTGACCAGTCTCCTCCTGCAGCACGGCAAAGTGCAGCTGACGGACCCCACCGATGAGGAGGTGCTGGTGGCTGCCCTGAACCTCAAGGACCCCACCAAAACAGCATACACCAACCAGACCTTCACCACCACAGACTTGTGAGCAGGTGCATGGGGAGCAGCAGGGCCAGAGTGGGACTCGGGAAGCTGCTTTGGTGATGATGTGTTCAGAGGCTGGCAATAAACCTGTCCCACGTGGGTCACTGTTGTCCCATGGCCATCAGCTCATCTGCCCAGGGGGCTCAGCCAGCTTGGGGTCATCTCTCCTGGCATGACATGCTGGTTTCAGGCCAGGCTGGTGCTGGAGGGGAGGTGAGTGCCACCACAGGGCTCAGCCTGACTTCTTGTCCCCAGGACCCTTCCCTGGGCTGCCCCACTGTCCCTGCTCAGCCCCGGGGGAGGGAGGTGCAGGCAGCCCCGTGCAGAGGTTTGTGCAAGGTTTTATTACCCAACATCAACGTTGACAGATTAGTCCTCCCACCCCCTTCCTCCCCCCCACCCCCAAAAAAAGAAATGAAGAGGAAAAAAAGAAAGTAGGTGATGAAGCTGCAGCACCAGTGTGCTGCAGCTCAGCAGCGTGGGGCTGGAGGTGGGGGTGAGCCCATGGCAGGGTGGCAGGGGGATGCCCCAGGGCTTCTGGTCTTCCCATGCAGCCATGGCACTGCTCCCACAGCCCGATGTGCAGGGAAGAGCCGGCTGCCGGGGGGCACGGTGGCACAGAGCGGGCACTGGCCGCCC